CACGCAAATTCTTCTGCTAGTTGGGGTTTAGTCCAAATCTGCATCCTTTCCTTCAAGGCTCAGGGGTCCAAGATTATCTTCTGTGTCTGTGTTAATTGGCCTCCCTTTTCCTTGTTGAAGAGGGTCTGCGCAATCCTTCCGCCCAGTCCGCCATCTTGCCCCGCCTCCCCTTGTTGTATTTGAACGACAACCTCCTGGTCTATGTACAAGTTCCTCACAAGCACAATTAAGTATTGTGGAATTCCCATTCTTCTCAATGTTATCCATAATTTGTTATGATCCACAAAATCGAATGCTTTTACATAGTCAATAAAACACAAGTAAACATCTTTCTGGTATTCTTGGCTTTGAGCCAAGATCCATCTGACATCAGCAATGATATCCCTAATTCCATGTCCTCTTCTGAATCCAGTGTGCATTTCTGCAAGTTCTCTGTCAATATATTGCTGTAACCATTTTTGAATTATCTTCAGTAAGATTTTACTTGCGTGCAGTATTAATTATATTGTTCAAATATTTCCACATTCTGTGGCATCTCCTTTCTTTGGAATGGGTACAAATATGGATCTTTTCCAGTCATTTGTCCAGGTAGTTGTCTTCCAAGTCTCTTAGCATAGCTGAGTGAATGCCTCTAGTGCAGCATCTGAAACGTCTCAGTGGGTATCCCACCAATTCCTGGACCCTTGTTTTTCGCCACTTCCCTCAGTGCAGCTTCAATTTCTTCCTTCAATACCATTGGTTCTTGATCATATGCCACCTCCTGAAATGGATGAACATCAACCAATTCTTTTTGGTACAGTGATTCCGTGTATTCCTTCCATCTTCTTTTGATGTTTCCTGCATCATTCAATATATTGCCCATAAAATCTTTCAATATCACAATTCAAGGCTTAAATTTCCTCTCAGTTCTTTCAGCTCAACAATGCCGAGCATGTTCTCCCTTTTGGGTTTCCAACTCCATGTCTTTGCACATTTTATTATAATAATTGACTTTATCTTCTTGAGCTGCTCTTTGAAACCTGTTCAGCTCTTTTATGTTGCCATTTCTTCCATTTGCTTTAGCTACTCTCCATTCAAGGGCAAGTCTTAGAGTCTCTTCTGGCATCCCTTTTGGTCTTTTCTTTCTTTTCTGTCTTTTTCATGACCTTTTTATTTCTTCATAGATGATGTTCTTGATGTCATCCCACAATTCCTCTGGTTTTGGTCATTGGTGTTCAATGCATCAAATCAATTCTTTAAATGGTCTCTAAATTCAGGAGGGATATAATCAAGGTCATATATTGGCTCTTGTGGACTTGTTTTAATTGTTTTCAACCTCAACCTGAACTTGCAAATGAGCAGTTGATAGTCTGTTTCCCAATCAGTTCCTGGTCTTGTTTTGGCTGAAGGCATTGAGCTTTTCCATTGCCTCTTGCCATAGATGTAGTCAATCTGATTCCTGCATACTCCATCTGATGAAGTCCAGCTGCCATTTGTGTTGTTGAAAAAAGATATTTGTAATGAATAAGTCATTGGTCTTGCAAAATTCTATCATGCGATCTCCAGCATGATTTCTATCTCCAAGGCCAAATTTTCTAACTACCAGTGATTCTTGTTTCCAACTTTTGCATTCCAATCCCCAGTGATAATCAGCACATCTTGATTGCATGTTCGGTCAATTTCAGACTGCAAAAGTTGGTAAAAATCTTCAATTTCCTCATCTTTTGCTTTGGTGGTTGGTGCATAAATCTGAATAATAGTAATATTAACTAGCTTTTCTTGTAGGCATATGGATATTATTCTATCACTGACTGCATTGTACTTCAGGATAGATCTTGAAACATTCTTTGTGATGATGAATACCATGCCATTCATCTTCAAATTATCATTCCCGGCATAGTAGATCATATGGTTATCTGATTCGAAATGATCAAAACTGGTCCATTTGAGCTACTAATGGCTAGGATATCAATCTTTATATGTTTCATTTCATTTTTGACAACTTCCAATTTTCCTTGATTCATACTTCATATATTTCATGTTCCGATTATCAGTGGATGTTTGGAGCTGTTTCTTCTCATATTGAGTCAGGCCACTTCAGCAAATAGAGGTCCCGAAAGCTCTACTTTATCTATATCATTAAGGTAGGCTCTACTCTGATCAGGAAGCTCTTTCCCAGTCTTATTTTGAGTGTCTTCCAACCTGAGGGGCTCATCTTCCAGCACTGTAGCAGACAATGTTTCAGGGCTATTCATAAAATTTTCCAGTAATATATCAGACAGTGTTTCACTACTATTTGTAAAGTTTTCACTGGCCAATTCTTTGAGAAGCGGATGGCCTCTTCCTTCTTCCAAGTCTGTCTCAGTCTAGAAGCTCCACCAAAACCAGTCCACCATGGGCATCCCTGCTGGCACAGCCTCCAGACTCATAGCAACACATAAGCCACCACAATATGACCAACCAACAGACAAGTTAGTCTCCTTTAGCTGTTCCAACCGCTCCACTCACTTCCTGGGCTACCCTCTACCTGTTCCTGCCAGCTCTGTCTGCTGCTGTTCCTTGCTACCTGGGGACTGTCCCCTGCCCACCTTACCTGGCCCAGTTGCTGGCCCTGTCCGCTGTTGCTCCCTGCCACCTGGGGGGATGTCTTTCACCTGTCTTACCTGTTCCGGCCATGCATAGATTCTTTCACTATTGCAACTTGAGACTTGAATTTTTCTTCAGTTCTTTCAGCTTGAGAAATGACAAATGTGTTCTTCCCTTTTGTTTTTCTAATTTCAGGTCTTTGCACATTTCCTTATAACATGTTGCTTTGTGGTGGAACCACTGAGACTATGGCCCCTAGCTGCCCTTCAGGTCTGGAATTGAACCCACACCTGTGGTTGCCAGCCAAACAATGTACAGGCATGTGAGTTAAACATTTACCTCAAGTAGACACACGCCCTGGAGAGAACAATCATGGGAGAAGGAAGGGCTGCTTATGCACAGGGAGACAGCTCAGGGCGCAAGAGAGTATGGAGGGATGGTCACTGGGAAGAGGTAACTGTGGGGAGGAAGTGGGAGGGGAGCTGTTGCATTATAAACTGTGGTTAATGACATGAGACAAAGTATATGTGAACTGCTACATGGAAAGTGAATTCGCTCTGTAAATCTTCACCTAAATCACAATAAATACTAAAAAAAAAAATGTTGCTTTGTCTTCTTGGATTATCCTTTGAAATCTTCTATTCAGCTTTTATTTCAAGTTGCAGAGTCTCTTCTGACATCCACTTTGTTCTTTTCTTCCTTTCCTGTCTTCTTAATAACCTTTGCTTTCTTCATTTATGATCTCCTTGATGTCATCTCATAACTCATCTACCCTTCAGTCACTGGTGTTCAAAGTGTTAAATCTATTCTTCAGATGGTCTCTAAATTCAGGTGGAATACAATCAAGGTCGCATTTTGGCTCTCATGCACTTGTTTTAATTTTCTTCAGCTTCAACTTGAACTTGCATATGAACAATTGGTGGTCTGTTCCAGTCAGCCCCCAGCTTTTTTTCTAATGATATTGAACTTCTCCATTGCCTCTTCTTGCAGATGTAGTTGATTTGATTCATGTGTATTCCATCTGGAGAGGTCCATGTGTACAGTCACTAATTACATTGTTGGAAAAAGTATTTGCAATGAATAAGTTGTTGGTCTTCAAAATTCTATCATGTGGTCTCTGGTGTCATTTCTTTCACCAATGCCATATTTTCCAACTACTGATGCTTCTTCTCTGTTTCTGATCTTCACATTCCAATAACCAATAATCTTGATTGCATGTTTGGTCAATTTTAGACAGAAGTTGGTAAAAGTCTTTAATTTTTTCACCTTTGGCTTTAGCAGTTGGTAGTAAATTTGAATAATAATTGTATTAACTGGTGCCAAACACTGTGCTAGGCAAGATCCCTGCTTTTATAAATCTGCCATCAATAAACATGTACAATGGCTTACAACAAGTTAATGAACAATAAATGTACAGTTACAAATTATCCTAAGTACAATGACAGGAACTATTAGTGTAACAATAGGGAAAAACTAGGGGTAAGGGAGGCCCACAATAGATGGTTAAGGAATGTCTTTCTGAGGTGATGATAATTAAGTTGAAGTCTTAAAGATGATAATCAGGTAACAAAATGAGGGGCAGGGGGTAAGAGAATTCCAGCCAAAAGGAAAATACATTGAGGAAAGAAAGAAGTTTCTTGTTATATTCTAAGAACTAGATAAAAGTAGGTATCTGGGAGGTTACTAGAAGATGAGTCTGTGGAGGTAGCAGGGGGCAATATAATATTGGAGGTCAGAAATTGTAGTCAAGTGTTTGAATTTTATTCTGAATTCAAAGAAATGCCACTGATTTATTTTTAGTAAGGGAGTAGCATGATCAGACTTTGAAAACTAAAATTACAGGATGAAAGCGGCTGTGAAAGAAGAACCTATGCTGCACACCAAACCTCTGAAAGCAAGAACAAGTGTTATTTTAGTCTCACCTTAAACGAGGCACAGCTTATAGGAGGATCCACCCTAAAGAAGGATCAGTCGTGGAAGTAAGAGTAAAGACTTGTAAGAAAGGAAATAGAGGCAAAGATTAAAAAAAAAGAAAAGGAGACAATTCCAACTAATGGTGGCCCCGTGAGTGTCAGAGTAGAACTGTGCTCCCCAAGGTGTTCAATGGCTGACTTTTCAGAAACAGATCATCAGGTCTTCCTTCTGAGGAACCTCTGGGTGGATGTAAACCTTCAACCTTTTGGTTAATAGCCAAACATGTTAATCGTTTGTACCACCCGGGGACGCCAAGATAAATAGAGACAGTAAGATTATTACTGTAGCATTGTAGTCTTAAAATAAGACTGTTCCTGCAGTTAGAAATTTGAATTTGTTAGTTGTCACCATTCCTTACCAGCTCTGGTAACTCCCTTATTGGCCAGTTGTAAGAGGCCCTTCTTTTTCAATATGAAGCTGGAGCCAATAAAAATACTGGAACTTACTGCCAGTATCAACCCCACATAAATACTGTATTTGTTTTCTGCTTTTTCAGAAATGCTCAAGTTGGCAATGCTGGAATTTAGATTCATGTAGTGGATAGGAGAAGCCAACAGCTGTGACACATTCGTGATCTCACACCAAGCCTTGGAAGAGTTTGGACAGATCAGAGAGAGTACATAACCTGGGGAAAAAAAAAAAAAAGTCAACAAATGAAAGGGAGATATGTTAATGCTGACTCTCTTTCTAAGAAACGGAGGCTTGAGTGAACAGGTTTTTCTACTGCATGAGGTGAAGTCACCAACAGGTGGTCCACAGATCTGCAGACATGTTCAGTTTGGTGTCCACAGGTTTTTAAAAATGTTTAGAAGTGTGAGGATTGCAGTAAATGCCACAAATTA